AGGAAAGTGCTGCGCCAACTTTAAAAAAACCGGGGGATATGGCCACAGTTGAGGTTTGGAACCAAAGGCCCGGGCAAAAATGGCCCGGTTTTTGAGCTCTTGGCAGAGATCGTCTGGAAAATCGCAAGTTGGTTCACATGTGCCATGGTCCGCCTGGCTTGGGACGAATGGCCACATACCCTTCTCATTTTTGTTTGGGCAACGAAGATCAGTGAGCCATTTCAAAACCGATGGTACCATTTTGGGATAGCTCTATTTTAGTTGGGATTGGGATGTTTACTGGGGGTACCGGGTTTTGACCCATGGCCAAGTGAGCCACGAGCATGGCCATAGGTTTTTTTTCCACGCACGTGGGTCACAATTTTGAGATGCGTTCGATGCATCGATGAGTGACTTATGGCTTGGATTTGTCACAGGCCGCCTTGAAGATGCTGAGTACGGAGGCTGGTTGGCAACGAGGCCACAGGAAGTGAGATACGTTTGACATTTGGCCTAGGTCAAAGTAGGGGACCTTGGTTTTGGATGGTTTGGAAAGGAGACCAACAGGTGGATGTCATGGAGTTCCTAAGGGGGGAGTTGTGGGGGGCTAGGCGGGGGATTGCTCGGAGGAACCCTAAACAGGCCTAAGGAACCCTAAAAAGCTTGATTGATGTCTAGAAAACCCCACGAAACCCCAAAAGCCCTACGGAACCCTAAGAAACCCTAAGGAATGCTAGGGAACTTTAAGAAAGAACCCAAACAAAGCATCCACCTCTACTACACCTCGACTTGGGTGGCTACTTGGGGCTCGCAAGGTGCTCAGCTTCAACCTCTTCACCGAGGAGTACCCGGACATGCGCAAGCAGGAGGGGTGGGGTGGGTGGGCGGGGGGGAAGAGGGTGTGTGTGTGTGTGTGTTGTGGTGGGGGCCGGCGGGTGGGTGGGCGGGTGGGTGGGCGGGTGGTGGGTGGGTGGGAGCGTTGTGCAATTTGCCCAATCCGGGTCAGTCAGAACGGAAATGCTACAGCGGAAAGTTTTGTCATGCGTGGCATGCTTGTGGTGTTGAGTATACCTTCGCATGTGTTTTGTGGACATATTCTTTGGTGCTCACCTTCAGCCGAGCAAATGCAACCCATGACAGGGACGTTTTATGTGTGTACCCAGATGTGTTGGGCACACACACACACAACGCAGCAATGAAATTCCTATGCTATCCATCCAATGCTCACTGAAGCGGCGACGAGAGAGACAGCAGAGACACCGGGTCACATAGCATGCCATCTTCACTGGGCTCAATCATCCGGATCTGAATTGCAAGAGTTGAAGCGTCAAAAGTGGCTGGTGGTCACTACATGATGCCGCTCCTGAAGGGGAATCATGCATGTATCCATTTGAGCCACAATCAAAACCCGGGTAGATGAAGGTTAGTAAGGGGCAGTCCCAGCCAGAAATAGTTGCAGCCGTCTTCTTAATTCTTTACATTGTTCTGGGTAGACCATTTTAATACCGGGTTTTGATTGTGACACATTTGGCCCTTTGAGGAATCAAGCAATTATTTTGGGAAGCCCACCGAAGCTCATTGCCATCTCACTGACCTCGGGTCTTCCGCGACTGATCAACCAGATCGCATCTCAGCGATTGGCTTCGCCCGGGCTTTCGAGTCAGAATTCTTCGGCTTGCGGCTTTCCCTGGGAAGCCAACGGGGAAGCACCCATGTCCGGGTTGTGTAAAAGGGAGGCTGTGAAACAAGGGAAAGACAACAAAAAGCCAAAGGGTGTGAAAAAAGGAAGTGAAAGGGAAACGACACAGAATGTGGGCGTGGGGGGGGGTTCCAACAATTTTTGAGAAAACAAGTTCTCAAACTAGGCATCGGAACCCACATTCATGGTGAGTGAGTGTGGGTGGGTGGGTGTGGATGTGTGTGTGTGTGTGTGTGCGTTGTTGGGTAGGTGGCTGTGTGGATTGCATCCCACGGACCCACCCATCCATCCACCCATCCACCCGCCCACCGCATCCCTTCCATCCATCCATCCATCCCTCCCTCCCTCCCTCCCTCCCTCCCTCTCTCCCTCTTAATTATCCGCCATCCATCGCGTCCATCCATCCAGCCCGCGCGGCGGACATGCGAGGCCGGCGCGCGGAGCACGAAAGTATATATATGCTCAAAGGTAGGCCCTGGGGGGGGGGGGTGACCATAAATAATATATATATATATATGAACCATACTCAATGGTCATGACTCTAGAAAAAAAAAGTGGGTTTGGGGTTGGTAAGTGAGGGGTTGTTCATGTGTGAGAACCAAGCAAACAAACATGGAAACCGGTACTGGACGACTGGCCCTCAGCAAGTCGCGGAAATCAAGAAGCCAGGCCAGGAAAAGCTTGGAGAGTGGCCACAAGAAAACTGTGTCTCAAGACGGGGCTTGGGTGGTACAAAAGGCTACCAAAGGCTACCCTTCTTGCTTTTTGTTTTTCAAAGCCAAAAGGACACCCACCCGCCCACCCAACCCACCCCCACCCACCCCGCGCGCGGGGGGATTCCAGCTTTTTGTTCAAATGTTAATGAGGAGGCGAATCTTGGCGCGTTTCTTTGTACTCTGCAGCGAAACTCTCGCCTTTTTTTCCGGGGTTTTGGCCGTGTTGTCCGCGCTGCGTGGTCGGGCAGGTGCGGATTGTGACTGCGCATCTTTTCAATTTTGGCGCGACGGTAATGATGATGATCCGGATGCTGTGAACCATCACCCAACATCAGTGGTGATGATAATCATCACTAAGACAAGGACAAAGACAAACCCTTCCCATGCGCCTCCCCTTTGGAGAAAGGGGTTGGCGGATATATACATATATACACATATGTTTATATGTGTTTATATGTATACCCTAGTTGGTTCTCCACTATGAACACGCCGCCCGTTGCGGCCCCCCTTTTTTCACATGCCGCAATCGATCTCTATGACCAGGAGGCCACCAAGGCGGAGCTGCACTTGAGGGCAGAAGAGCTCCACGAGCGGCTGAAGCAAGAGGCGGGCACTGAAAGCTGGGCACTTGTGGCACTCGTGGCGGCGTGGCGCGGGAGGTGGTTCTTGGCGGGGGGGGGAGGTCTGAAATTGGTCTGAAAGGGGAAGGTGTAGGTGGGCTTTTGTGTTTGGAGGGGTATTTATTTTAAACGAAAACAATTCCCAAAAATATATCCGCACCCTTTGTGTTTTGAGAGTGCCTTTTGCCAGCTTGGGTTTAGAAAAAGCCCCGCGAGCGCTTGGCGCCGGTTGGTTCCGCTGGCCGCCCCGGTGCCCCCAAGGACACCCACCCAAATGCCGGGAGTAAGGGATTTCCAGTCCCAGGCGGAAATAGTTGCGGCCAGGGTCACCATTTGTGTACCAAGGTGTCCTGAAGGTCCTCGAAAAGGAGGTCACCTTTGGGGTCACTCTCCCTGGCATTCTTGACTTGCGATCTCTGGATTGCTAACCCTTATAAATTATCTCATGGATTGGTTTGCAGGTTGCCTCTTTATATCAGCCTGGTGGAACATGTCAGCGATTTCACCTATGAGATCCTTGGGGGTTCCCTTGCTTCCAGCTTGGGAATTCGGTTTTATGTTTATGTTTTCCCAAATATAATTGTGTGGTTTCATTTGTTTATCGAAGCGGTGGGCAGTGGAATCTATCAAGTTTTCCCAATAGGACACCGGTTGCGTGGAAGAGGCTTAGACACATGCGGGCTGTTCAGAGGCAATTTTTGTTTTACGCGTTTGTATATTGTTTGTTGTGGATGGTGGTGGTGGATGTGTGGATGTGGTCGTTATTTTTTTGTCAGATCAATCGGAGAAGAATGTGTCCTGCTTTGTCATAGAAGAGTTTGTGATCGTAGAACCATCGGATGGAGAGACGGAGAGACGCAGAGACGCAGAGACGCAGAGACGCAGAGACGCAGAGATGCAGAGAGCGAGGTCGAGAGATTGCTGCCGCATCTGGTTGCACCGGCCATCGTGCACAAGACTCCTGCTTTCATTTTGGGAGTCTCAGTGATCCGTGCCCGTCTTTCCAAAGTGGCCTCAACATGATCAGACATGATTCAGGTGATGATGCGTCGAAATTGGGGGCCAAACAAAGTGGTGCTTGCCATTTTGGTGTCTTTGTAAACAGAGATGGGTTTCGGCATACCCTCAAGACATGCCCACTTGCCACCAGGAGCGCTTGGCTTCCCAAGCTTTTTTGTGGGTTAGGTGGAAACCCAGCGGAGCGACAACCTCGCCCAGCTCGAGGCGTGGGTTGCGTGACTCGGGTTTGGCTGGGCAACACCAGCTCAGCTCAGCCGATCTCAGCCTGGGTCCGGTGCTGGGAAGCTCTGCATTTCTTGCATTTGATGGAAAATGAACAGAAACCAATGCTGTGAGTGGTGGGCGTGGTGGGTTTTGGGGAATCCGGCTCACAAAGAGAAAAGGTGGACCCCAAAAATCGAGGATGTACACTGTGAGGGGTGACATCGGCCAGGCAAACCCTGTCGCCCTCTTGGATGAGCGACAACAAGTCGATTTGTGCAGGTCGCGGAGCTTGCGAAGATAATAAGGGTTTGTCTCAAAATAGGGGACCCCAAACATGTGTGGTTTCGTTTCGGTTTCCCTGAAACACCGCACCATACAGGAGGGGAGGGGGGTTCTGGGTACCCCCCGATCAGACCCATTCCAGACCTGGACTGGTAAAGCGCCGTGGCGTTTGGCAATGGAAACAAATCAAAAGATGGTCGCAAGGTCTGTCTCCGCAGAAGAAGCAATCACGCAGCAGCTGTGAGACACATCGAACTTTGGGTGTGCCTTTGTTTCAGGCTACCTGATTTTGCTGTTTGGTTGCTGGTTTCTTTGTTTTTAAAGGAAGTCAACAGGAAGCACAGCACCTTTTTGGGGCTCCGAGAAAAAAGAAAAAAAAAGCGGACCCAAGCCACGCTTTGTTCCGCGCCTGGCTGGGGCTGACAGGTGCTGCAGACCAGCCGCTGGCTGGAGTCCCAGACGGAAGTGCTGGCCTCGCAGGCGGGGGGTGAGACTGGTGGTGGGGGTGGGGTGTGGGGTGTGGGGTGTGGAGTGGGGTCATGGTGGTTATTGGGAAGCATTTTATCTTTTTTGCTTGTTGTGGTTTAGTGGCTGAAATCCAACCACTCAAGTGCTCAAATTTGAGAATTGTTGCTCCCCTTCCAACGTCGGGGTTTCCCTTTGAGATCAACCAACAAAGAAGAGAGGGCCTTTCTTTCCATGGCGGTGGTCGGAGGTCGCAAAACGAAATGAGTTGATTCCGCTGAGGTCGCTCTTGCCCCCATCCTGCGGTGTCGCTGCTTCTTTACCTGAAGGGCTATGGTTTAACTTTCGCCTGGGGCAAGCGACACTGGAAAGTTGGGCGTAGCTTCTTCCAGGGGGGCGCACACATGTCCGACTTTCCCGAGGTGTTTGCCGTGAGCTGGACCCCTGTTTTCCGGACGTTGAATCCTGAGATGCTTGCAATGTTGACCGGCCTTTGGTGCACAAGCCGATCTATACCGCAATGCTAGCAACGAATAGACGACATGCCCTTGGCATATGATGATTGCAACGTTGAATACGTTTTGGAGCAATGTTCAGGGAACAGTTCTTTGCACCGTTTGTGATGTCGTTGGATCTCAGTGTGCGCAAGGCACACCATTGTCGCTGAGCCACCTTGGCGGCGAATCCGACATTTCTATATTCATACTCGTGTTTGAAGGGCTGTCAAAGCAACACACATTCTGAGCTGTGTAGGTTTTGAGCATTTATCATTTTTTCGCCTGGCAATATCCACTCAATTCAGCATGGCAGGATGTTAAGCTAACTGAATTTGGCACCATTCGGCACATGGCATGAGACCGAGATTCTATTGGCCAGCAGGCGGTGTGTCCTGTACCGTTTTGCTGCAAAGATGCTTGCCTAGGCGGGTGAAGCAGAGTATTGGCTAAAGCGCTTTGCTGGGTTGATGTCTAAACGACCGCTGCTTACACATGCTTCGGCTCAGTACTGGGGTTCTTCCACAAAGCATGGTTCCCCGACAGCCCAACCGGGTGCGGATCACACAGCCGATGCACAAGCTTGCAGCTTGCTTTGGATGTGCGAGTGCCAGTGACGGTAACTGGCATCACTGGTTAGTTTCAATTGGTTGCCCGCTATGGTTGGCTTCAAGAGGTCAATTTGCACAGGCCAAATGATGCCAACGAGCTCAGGTTTTGCTTCCCGTTTCGGATTTCGGGCATGTGGGTGTTTTCAGGGGATTTGTGGGCTGTCCTTTTGGATTCCCTTTAACGCCAACCAAAAAGGGTAGCCTAAAAAAGACACATACACACGCACGGATAAAACACACATTTCCTCGTTGGTCTCATTTGTGTGTGTGTCTTTTAGGAGACGCCCCAAAATGGCACAGCGGTTTTCCTTTTGGTTTCCATAAACTTTCCTTTCCCGCAAAAACGGGGTACCGACTCCAGGAAATGGAGCCGCAACCATTTGGGTGTGTCTCAAAATAGGGCCTAAACTAGGCGATGTTCCCTTTGTTCCTTAACCCCGCTCGAAGAAACAATTAAAAGAACAAAAAGCGGGTTCCCCCCCCCAAAAAAAAGGACATACCCAAAAAGCGGGTTCCGAAAAAAAAAAAGGACACACGCCCATGTGTCTCATATTTTGTTTGCACCGCTTCCGCGATCCCATGGCGTACCAAGTTATCCCGGCCCATGATGGGCTGCCGGACATCAACCTCCTGGTCACCAGCGACCCAGGACCGCAGGATTTGGATAGAACTCGGCGTGGTTCTAGGGGTAGGCTGCAATTCCATTCTTTCCTGGCATCCTTGTCTCTCAAAAGCCACCCAATTGTTTGGGGGAACAGCCAGTTTTTGAAAAGAAGGATGGTTGAAAAGAATGGGGAATCAACCGCTAGAATGGGAGTTGTCGTCTCAGTGTCCTTTTTATTGCTTGGGTTGAACGTAGCCGGGGTTTTGGCTTTCACGCATGGGTGTTCAAAACATCTACCAGGGCCATCGTTGCTTTTTTTTCCAAAAGGAGATCCTTGGTGGCTTGAGGGAACTTTTTTTTGTTCTTAACTAGCTGGTTGGGAGGGAGCTGTTGCGGAGATGGGGCTATCCAAGTTTGCTAAGGAGCCTTCGCAGCAGTCCACCTGTCAAATGACCACCATCAGAAGCATTCCCTTGTGACCTGGTAGAGACCCTGATCTGTTCTCAGAGAATATGGTCGAAGACCACCTGGACTAAATCCAATTGATGGCTTTTTTAGTTGAAAGGGAGTTAGGAGGATTGGTGTTCTTACACCACCCAGTCTTCTCAATCGGAGCAGTTGTGTGTGTGTGTGTGTTTTTGCTGAGGATTTTCGTCTTTTTGTGGCACGCTGTCCGACTCAAGGTCTGGCTGCTCCAAAGACCTGGTTGCTTGGGGTTACCAGGGATGCTCTTGTACCCGGCGCCATAATGTTGACCCCAACTTTTGTCAACCCCAGTTTATTAGTTCCGATGATTCCCCACTAATCCCAGCTAGAAGAACCCCCCTCTTAAACCGGGGTTGATTCATATTGGGTCAACATTGCTGTCAAGTCCTGGCTAGGAGACATTGAGGATTTCCTGAGTGGCTGGGAAGGGCGGTACCACTTTGGCCTGGACATGGAGTCTTCGCTGCAGCGAGTTTGCAGTTTCAGCTCTCGATGTCTCGGACGCTGTCTCAAGGAGGATAGAGAGACAGGATCGGCATTCGAGAATCCACGTGAGCAACTGAAAGAATTCTGGTGGTAGCGATGAGGCTGATATAAACCTTGCCATGTTCAGAACCAAACGGACTACCCTGCCAATGGGGCAGCAAGCCTCAAAAAGCACCCATTTTGCACGTATCTTTTGGATTGGGTTCATCTCAGGGGGGTTGAGTCAGAAGCAAACGTCAATGTGGGTTTGTCTCAAAAGCGGTAGCACGAATCGGTGGTTTCCCTTTGTTTTCCCCTAAAACGTGGGTGTGTTCTTTTCAGCCCACCAAAATGGTGTTTTTTTTTCTTTTGGTTCCCTTAGAACCACAGAACAAATCCAAATTCTGACGGCCGAAGCAGCTGGAAAATCAGAAATGGAGAATGTCCGGTCGCTGCAAGTGGTCACAGGGGGTGTGCCCCAAGTGCATCCGTAGGTGACTGGATACCACTCCCCCCCTCTAGTGGTGGTGTTCCTAGCCATCCCCTTAGCTTTTTAGCTTTTTAGTGTTTAGCCACCAAAAGTTAGTCACTTTCAGCGGGGGATCTGAGGACAGCTCAGTTTTGGCTTCCCTTTAACACCCACCCAAAACATCTACGGGTTGATTCCCCATTCTTTTCAACCATCGTTCTTTTCAAAAACCGGATCCATTTCCCCTGCGGTTCTGATGGTTTTCTGAAAAGATTCGGATCCCTGGAAAGAATGGAATTGGAAGTGTCCCTAGAAAAAGACTGTGGGGTTCCTGTTCATTTCCCGTCAGACTGTCAGGTGGCAACCCTGAAAACAAAGAAACTGGGGAGTCTCGCCTACCCTCGCCTACCCTCAAAAAGAGATGCCCCCAAACACCCAGACGAGCGCCCAAGTCCCCATCCGGTCACCGGCTCTCCGAGGAGTGGAAGCCCAGCTACGAGAAGGGCGCGCCGCCGAACCGCTCCGCCCTGCTGACCATCTGCAACGGGCCCTGGGTGCTCCGAAGCGGAAGCTGTGGATGGCTGCGACATCGGCTGCGAAATCCGCCTCAGAAACCATGGTTGAAGCCACTGGTTCTTGGTATTTACGTTGGGAATCAGACCCTTCCAGGGCTTCTGGGGTGGTGCGAGAAGCGGATGTCTCAACCATCCAGAAGGGAGCTGGGGGCATTCCAAATTTTGGCTCTTGCACCATGTCTAGGTCCCCCAGCTAGGGGCCCTTTCTCCCCAACTTTTTTGGGGGGAGGGTTCCCCTACTAAAATAGACCAACCAGAAGAAGAGTCGGGTACCCTTAGTCTAAGACCTAGACATGGTGGCGAAGGGCAAGCCAAAAGGAACCCCAGTGGTGCCTTTTCGGGGCCCAAGTCCTGAAGAAACTTTGGTGCATTTTACTTGGAAGGACTTTAGCTTTTTGCCAACTCATGGGTTTTCCAAATTCAACCACACACAGTTAGGCACGTTTAGCAGGGAAACAGAAAGCAACCGAGCAAAGACACACTTTTCAAAGACGCTTGTCCTGCAACGGGCTCGGGTTTTGCCAATGGCTGGACCAAGGGAAAGGCCTGGCCATGTTCCCAACTGCTTGGACACCCATTTTTGGGTGTGTTTTTCATCTATGAAAGCCTTTTCTTGGTGCTCAGGAAATGAGAAATGGAATGACCCCAAGAAAACCCTCCAACTTGTGTGGTTTCCCTTAGACAGCCTGGGTTCCTTCAACCACATTCCCTGCCCATCGCACCGAAGGCAAGGTTTTCTTTCTTTCTTCTTTTTCTCGGTTTTTTCTCGGTGAGACCGAAATGACACCGAAAAAAAAAAAAAAAAAAAAAAAAAAAAGCAAAAAAAAAAAACGCCCTTCTGGGTTTGCTTTCAGGGAAGCCCCAAAAGCCGGTGGTTGTTGGGAAACCTTTTACACTTTTGCTTATTGTGGCTTAGTGGTTGAAATCCAACCACTTAACTGCTAAACATTATTTTTTTTCTTCTCCCCTTCCAACGTCAACCAAGATTTTAAAGCCGGTTCCTTCCTTAGGTGCTTTTCTTCGGTTTTAGTCGGTGAGGTGCTGGCGGTGGACTTGGTGCCCTGGCGAAAGCCCAGGCGCGGATCCGAGCGACGGATCCGAGGTGTAAGAACGTCGGTGGGGTTTTGGTCCTGGTGCCAGGCGTGCAGACAGGGCAGCACATGGTGGGAGGACGTTTTTGTTTTTTTGGAAAAACTAGTTTTTTTTTCAGGGAGAACGGTTTGAATGAAAAAAAGCAACAACTTTTTAGGTTAGTTTGGGTAGACATAGATGTTGGTTCCACTGATTTGTGGTGGTTCACTGATGTTCTTA